TGTCTCGTCACTAAAATGCAGGGCAAAATCATGATATTAAGATAGGAAACAGATGATTTGAAAATGTGGCACAGTTCAGATATTTGGGAACGACTATAACAGATCAAAACCTGATTCGGGAGGAAATTAAGAGAAGATTGAACTCGGGCAATGCTTGCTACCATTCAGTCCAGAACCTTTTGGCTTCTCGTCTGTTGTCGAAAAACCTAAAAATTAGAATATACAAAACTATAATTTTGCCTATGGTTCTGTATGGGTGTGAAACTGGGTCCTTGAAATTAAGTGAGGAACATGGACCGAGGGTGTTTGAGAACAGGGTGTTGAGGAGAATATTTGGACCGAAGAGAGATGAAGTGACAGGAGGTTGGAGAAACTGCATAATAAGGAGCTTCATAACTTGTACTCTTCTCCAAGTATAATTAGAATGATCAAGTCAAGGAGGATGAGGTGGGCAGGTCATGTAGCACAAATGGGGGAGGCGAGGAATGCGTATAGGATATTGGTGGGAAAGCCAGAAGGAAAGAGACCACAGGGAAGACCAAGGTGTAGGTGGGTGGACAATATTAGAATGGATCTTAGAAAGATAGGATGGGATAGTACAGTTGGATAGATCTGGCTCAGGATAGGAACCAGTGGAGGGCTCTTGTGAACACAGTGATGAACCTTCGGGTTCCATAAAATGCTGGGAAATTCTTGAGTAGCTGCAGAATTGGCGGCTCTTCAAGAAGGGCTCAGCTCCATGAGTAAGTAAGTAAGTAAGTAAGTAAGTAAGTAAGTAAGTAAGTGAGTATTATGCATAATCTACAGAATCTGCAATACACGTATATGTTCAATAAGTACTGGCTAGTGAATGAGTTATACCCAGTGGCGTAAATCATATACCTTTGCTTGTTCAGTTATGTATCATTTTAATTCTTGTATTAGGGTTTTACTCAGGTCTGTTTGGTAGAGTTAGGACGGTGTATCTTTTCATTTTATGTGAGGTTTCGCTATTGTCTAGTAGACTCACTGCTAGTGCATTCGTGTGGTTTTCTAATTTTCTTAAGTGTTTGGTATTCTACTTTTTTATTTCACTGAGCACTGGGTTCATTTGTATGTTTTCATGGATCCTGTGGTTGTTTATGTACCAAGGTGTGTTCAGAACGGATCGGAGAGACTTGTATTGGAAGCTCTGGAGGATTTCGCTGTTCGAATTGGACCAATAGCTAAATTCCATAGGACCATATGGGTTTCAGTTTGCTCTCTATTGATAATGTTGATCTTGTGAGTAGCTAGTGCATTTGTTTCGCCTTTAGATCGAGCTGTTTTCTTTTTGTTTTGATGTTCCCTGCCCATGTTATTCTACTATCGATATGCATGTCCAAGTACGTATTTCAGTTCCTTTTTCTGGGGGGTGGATCAACATTGTCCATTTACACTGTCGGACACGTTTGGTTACGTAGGGTGAATGTACGATGTACGCAATGTGCGTGGATTTACTTTGATTTACTTTGGTTCTCCATTTGTTCGCCCAACCGTCAGTCTTATTGGTGGTGGCTTGGAATTCCATTGAGGCGTGACTAAGGTCACTAAGATTGCTCTTCATCGGCGAAGGTAGCAGTTGCTGTGTTGTCTGACGTGAGGATGCTTTTGTTGACAGGATATAGGACGGGTCCTAAGACACTTCCTTGCGGTACGCCTCCTTCAGTTTTCCTTTAAGGTTGTGATTTTGTCTTTGAATTTTACTAGAAAGAGTCTATACAGTAGATATGGTTATAATGCTCTGTAATATGCATGTGGAAGAATTTTTCTGATTTCAGTAGTTCACTCAACAGATATGCAAGTTGTAGTGAAATAGACACGAAGCACACCGCACCTGACGGTGACCGCATCATAGTCGATATACTCTATGTTGTTACACTTATCAATTTGACGCCTCGGAGTAATCGTGAAATCACGTTGCAATTACTGCATAATTTCGATAAATATAACACTAACACGGGTGTGTTGCTTGTGAGTGAGTGTTCACTATAGCCTAAACCAATGAAACGAAGCGGGATGTTGAATTATGAATTATTAA